ATACTCGCCATACAAAATATCTGGGCTGTTTTGTCTTCCCATCAAAAGCTATTTTCTCCAGTGCCAGAAAGGCCTGAACATAACCATTACAGAAACAAGGGGTTTATTTTGCAATTTGAAAGCAAACAACTACAGAAATAAATGCAGTCAGAAACACTGAAAATATCTTTTTCAGCAGAATTTTGGAAACTCGGGAGAACTTCTACACAGCTCACTCTGACATGGCAATATTACACACACTCTAAAAAAAAAAAAAATTAACGACTTTACCACCTTGCCACAAGTGCTAATGAATGATTCTACACTTCCTGGATAGGAACAAGTGAGACTGTGCAGCACCGAGAGGCCTGAAGCACTTTTTAATCTGGTCACATGGACACATGAAGCACACCTATTAGTACCACATGCCTTCCTGATTATATTACAAATTTACTATTCTGCCTTCATAAACATCACTCATGCAGCTCACATGCCGCTGCTGAGTCAGTCTCGAAAATTCTTCACTTTTAAGACTTCAAAAGCTAGATAAAGACTGTAATTAAAACTTGAAACAACTAACATTTTCAAATCAGCATACATCTTAAAGGTTGAGAAGTCCTCCATTTTAAACGAGATGAAAAAGAATCAGACCAGAAACTGTGTTTTTTACGTCCAGATTTCTTATTTTTCAAGTTGTTAGTTTCACACAGCCACATTTCACTAAGTGAAGTGAACAAACCTGACAATCTGAAGGGCAAAAAGGTTTATTAGTGAAAAACTTTTCTGAAATGTCTGGTTTTAAAACTACCCACCTATTAAATAGGAGCAGAATAACAACATTTCTAGAAGTATTCTCCAAGTCTAATGTGGTTAAGATATTTTCCTTGAGTATTACTGACTCTTCCTTGAGTCAGTAACCCACAATAACTACTTGTCTTAGTGAATAACAATAAATGTGAAAAAAAAAAAAGCCCAATCCCAAGAAAAACCCCAAACAAAAAAGGAAAACAAAACTTTACAAGTTACATGAAAATTGCCCACTCTGTGACAAAGATGGGCATTAATCAGTGCCGTGCCTGAGGGAAAGATCACCACATAAGGTCCAAAGACAACCTGTTACACTTGGCCTACCAGCAAGTCAATCAGCACTTAGGCATCAGTCAGCAAAACAGCTGAAACCTACAGCTAAAATGTTCTTTTCCAGTGCTCCTTGCCCGGTCTGTAAGAGCAGGGAGCAAAGGATGAACTGCTAAGGAGGGTAAAGATGATGCAAGAGCAGAAAACCAGGGATAACTTCTAGGTGAGAGTACAAAGACACAAGACAAATGTACAAGTGTGAACCAAAACCCCTTCATAAAGCTTTACTACTTATATTTCTGCTAAACAACTTCTTAAAATAGCAAGATCTACCACTGTTTTCTAAATCAAATAAAATCTGAGGATACGATTTCCGATTTAAATATACTTCCATAATAAACCTTCCAGGAAACAATAAATTATTTCAGTAATCTAACACTAAGTGTTTGTAAGAAAATACCCCAGTTCAGCAATAACACATCGGTGAGCTGCAGATGCATCCCCACTGCGTTCACCTCAGCTGATTTATACCCAAATCCTGCATCTGCTTAGGTCCAGCTTCAGTACCTGTGGCCCAATGTGAAACTCAAACACTGTGCTTACAAGTTAACTGATCCATTATTTCTTCATTTAAAGTCTTATCAAATGTTTCTCAGCATTTGCAGTAAGACTAGCAGCTCCAGAGGACCCTGGAGGGACACATCCATCCTTTCAGCACATGTCTCAAATTAGGGAAAGGCACAAGAAAATGACCAGCATTCACATGCTGATAATAGTCTTTGTTCTAACTGTAAATCCAGAGGATAACTAGACTTGAATGCAGACTATTATTACTCAGCCAGCTTGCTTGCAAAGTCCTACACAAACTTCTGCACAGTAGTGGGAACTTAGCACAGTTCCCAGGAAATAAAAAACTGAATGGTTACAGATCAACCAGTCCTGGAGTTACTGCACTGAACTCTCCCTCTGAGTTGAAAATGCCACCGGCTAATTTATCCCAGGTATCATTCTGGGTTTTGCTTTTTTGTTTCTCGGTTTTTTTTTGGCAGGGAAAATAAGCCTATTTTTAAAAAATATAAAGTCTGTGTGCATGGAAACGGAATGTTAAAATTCACACTAAATTTCAGGGGGTTGATAGTCACCATTATGTTCCTCGTGTACTTATAAATACTTACAAATTTTCTACAGTAATGCCTCCAATTATTTATTCTATTAGCAGATACTCTTAAAATACATTAAAATGTTAATAATAGAAGTTGCTGAATAGTAGTTAGATTTTGATCATATGCAAGATTTTCCTCTTCAGCTGTATTTTATTTTATAATATTATATTATATTTTAAATATTATGTTTTATAATATTTGTATTTTATACTTGATACCACTAAGCCAAAAATCAGAGATAACACATTGTGGAAAACAATAAAGCACATACATAGGGAAATGTGAATTTGATCACTCATGGAATTCAGGCCCTCTTACCACACCCTCTTATTCATTCAAATTTTCTAAAGAGGAAACAAGAAAAAAAAATCCCAAGCCCAGGGGCATGATCTCGATGCTACCAAGCCTGCCTACAACAGCAGAGTCTTTACCAAATACACCCTTCCACCACCTTCCTCCTGCTAAACCCATGGACGGCAAAATCAAACCTGTTGGTTTTATCTCTCTCCTTTTCTCTCTTCCCTCTTCCAGGTACTTCACAACACACTGAGATTCAAGACACCAAGTTCCTCAGGACTTAAGAGACACAGGTAGTCAGCAAAGGTCATGAAGTACTGTTCAACAAATTATTTCATATAAAACATCACTTAACAAATAAAATATCATTCTCTTAATAGTTACAGAACTTCCATTTTAATGCAGAGGTGACCAAATCAATGAATGATTAAGTCTTTCAGGATTTCAGCTGTTCCCAGCTCTTCCCTGGCATTTCACCATTCCAATTCACATACTCTCTAGCTCATCCCCTACCTTTTACAACACTGATCATCTGAGAGGCACAGGATTATGATGTGGCTGCCTTCCAAGCAGCAGCAATCATTTGGATCGCTATGTCAGGCAAGACACTTGCTGGACTACATGTGACAGAAATAATAAAGCAATCTAACACACTGCAGCAAAGAGCACACACCAAAGGAAATTTTCCATCCCCAGGAATAACAAATGGCACTCCTGGTACCATTGCTCTTTTCCTAGCCAACTCAACAAGCAGGCTTTGAAATTACGGCACAAAATGCCCTCTCAGCACCCCAAGTTCAAGGCAAAACTTTGCAAAGATTAAAAACAGGGCACAGCCCTCATTTAAACCACTAAACACATACAGTCCCGCTCCTGAAACTGAGCCCGTACTGATGGTGCAGGGAAGAAGGAACGATGGGCACACACGTGGATTTAACCGTGTGACTACAGCAAGAGGACCACGAGAACAATGACAGAGAAAGAAAGTAGCACAGCGGCTCTGGAGAGCACAAGGCACGGTGACACTACTTCCAGAAAACCCCTGCGAGTTATTTCCGTTATTTCCTCAACCCACAAACTGACACACACTTGGATAAGATCAGGGTGAGATTCAGACTTTAATTCCACGAAAAACAAGAACCTTAAAATGCCTTTATGTACCCGTTGTTTTTCCAGAAGTCTACTCCCAGACTTACTCAATTTCACATAAAATCTCAGCTTCTGACTACCAACAAACAAACCCCAACATCCACACCCCCTTTCCATCTTGCACAAGCTTGGAAGAAAGAAAACGTGAGGAGTCTCAAAAGTCAGATGGAAACCAAAGAACTGAATTTTTTCCTTAAGACTTTTAGGTCAATTACGTGATTTTGGGGGACTGACTCACACGGGGTTTTGTTTGGTTGGTTTTAAGCCTCGAGGTCAGATCTAGTCATGCCCCACTTCTGAAATATGGCTATTTGTGTAGTTACATAGATTTTGATCTGACATATACTCAAAGTACGTTTCTGGACCAAACCACATAATTCTTCACACGTAACAATTAAATAAATTATCTTAAGAAAGTACAAATAAAACTGTAATTGTTACTTAAATATAACTCCAGCAGGGAAGTCTGATACTTTTTTTTGCTAAACAAACGGAAAAATTGTACAAGTTTCTTAAAGTACTTGAAGGGACTAATTAGTAAAGGGACGTACAGCACTGTAAGGCTGTTCTTATGACCATTTTCCATCCTATTTTCAGCTTTTCAATTAAACTGTTGCACACAACATGCAAGAAAGCTACTACACAAGCCATGTCCTTTGAAATGCTTGACTCAGGAGGCTGAAACAGACCTGAAAGGTGGAATATCCAACCACGCCTGAGAATTTGGTGGTGCCTTTCCACAAGAACCCAAGCTAAAATCTGGGTAAAACGAGATGTGTAGCTTTAACACAAAACCCCTCAAGAACTAACCTTCACGTTTACTATTTCAGAACTCAAAGATGACTTTGAGCCTCCAAAGCCTCGCTTAGTGCTATGCATGTCTACTACTTGTGCACACGTAACACAGAAGGGCTGGTCTCCCTTTTTTATTTTAGCAAACTAGATTTTTTCCCCCCCTTAAGCTTTAAGATGTGCCCATCGGCTTTCTGCCTCTAGAGCAGAGACCCTGTTGCGGCCACAGGTAGAACCGCATCCACAGAACGCATTTCCCATTCCGAAGCCTCAGTACACCCCACACAAGCCAGGACACAGCCCTGAGGAACCCGAAAGCACCGTCTGAGAAAGACCCGCAGGGAAGAGGCGGCGGGAGGAGGCAGCGCCCGGCGGGGCCGCCCGGGGCTCTCGGGCCGGGGGAGCGCCCCCTCCTCCCCGGGCAGGGCCGGGCTGTGCCGGGGGCCCCGCGGAGCAGGGGCGGGGGCCCGGCACAACTTGGCCGGAGAAACCTGTGGCTGCCGCGACCCCCCCCGCGGGCGGGGACGGGCGCCGGGCACTGACCTGTCCTCCGAGTCCATGCGGCTGAGGGGCTCCCCGTCCGAGGACATCTCCAGGCTGCCCCGCCGCCCGCCCGACGTGGCGCTGCCGCAGCTGCTGCCGCCGCCCGTGCCGGGGCCGGTGCCGTACCCCTCGTCGCCGCCGCTGGACACGCTGCTGGAGGAGCTGGAGCCGCCGCCGCCGCGGCCCGGCCCGTCCCCCTGGCTGCCCCGGGGGCCCTTGGGCTCCTCCTTGGCGTCGGCCTCGCTGCCGCCGCCGGGGCTCGGCGAGCGGGTCTCGTCGCTGCAGCAGCCGCTGCTAGTGCTGCTGCTGCTGCTGCCCACCAGGCTGCTCTCCTCCTCCTCGCCGCCCTCCTCCTCCTCCTCCTCCTCCTCTTCCTCCTCCTCCTCCTCGTCCTCGTCCTCCCCGTCCCCGGCCTGGCTGGCGCTCTCCGGGCTGGGCTCCGACATGCTCTCCGCCTCGCCGTTTAGCAGCAGCAGCGGCTCCGGCTCCGCCGCGGCCGACGACGAGGGCGGCGGCGGCGAGGACGAGGACCCAGCCGCGCCGGCGGCGGCCGCCGCCTCCTCCCCCGGCCCCTCCGGCTCCGGCTCGCCCTGCCCGCGCGGCCGGCGCGGCTCCGCCATGTCGCTGCAGCGAGCGGCCGCCATGGCGCCTGCCAGTCGCTCCGCGCGCCGCGGGGGCGTGCGCGCGCGTGAGAGAGAGAGAGCGAGAGCCCCGTGCGCGCGACCGCGCGCGGCCCCCGGTGCGCGCTCCCGCGCCCGCCCTCGCGCACCCGCAACGGCAGCGGAGGGGCGGGGCGGGGGCGGGGCCCGGCTCGTGCCGCCGCCGCCGCACGCGCTACGGAGCGCGCCGGGGGACAAACAACGCGCGGAGGGCGGAGCGGCGGCCGCCGCCCCCGGCACGGAACGGGGGACGGGTGTGGGGGGGGCAGAGTGGCGGGGAGGGGGACACGGGGCTGGAATCCTCAGGGACCCCGGCTGGAATCGCCAGGGATCTCGGCTTGAGTAGCCCAAGGATCCCGCCTGGAATCCCCAGGGATCTCGGCCGGAATACGCCAGGGATCTCGGCTTGAATAGCCCTAGGATCCCGCCTTGAATCCCCCGGGAATCACAGCCTGAAACCCCCGGGCATCCCGGCCTGAATCCTGAGGGATCTTGGCTTGAAGCCCCCAGGGATCCTGGCCTCAATCTCCGGGGTATCCCGGCGTCAGTCCTCAGGGATCCCAGCGCACCGCTGGAATCGCGTCATCCCCACTGACCGCCCCCGGGGGAAGCGGGAATCCCGCGGGACGAGGCTCCCCCGCTCCCACTCCAGGACAAACTCCACAGCGTCCCACAGCAGGACATCAGCACTCCCGTCTGTAATTCCCGGGAGCTGGGCGGGCTCAGGCTGTCGCAGGGAGGGGGCAGCGGGTCCGGCAGAGGCAAAGCCCCCGTGGCAGTGCCGGCCCCGCCATCCCGGAGCCCCGCGCTCCCCTCACGGCAGCGAGGGGGAAGGAGGGAACAAGGAGCTCTCTGGAAAGGGAGAGCCGGAGATGCGCGGTCACGGGAAGGCGAAACATCACAGAGTCATGGAATGGTTTGGGTTAGAAGTTCCAACCCCCCTGCCACGAGCACGGACACCTTGCACTATCCCAGGTTGCTCCAAGCCCCGTCCAGTCTGGCCTTGAACGCGTTCAGGGATGGGGCAGCCACAGCTCCTCTGGTCAGCCTGTGCCGGTGCCTCCCCACCCTCACAGTGAGGAATTTCTTCCTGATATCCAATCTAAATGACTGGATTACTTAATTTAAACAAAATTAAAGCCATAGAGTTTAATGTACTAAAACTGTGGAAATTTGTTCATTTTTTTTTTTCCTCTCAAACCTAAACTCACTTCTGGAGATGCTTCCTGAAAAGGAAGAAACCATCGTTGTATGTCTAGAAGGGGAAAGGTGAAGGATAACTCAACAGAATGCCTGTCAGTCACATACAAGACTTCAGGACAGACTTTGAAAATTAATTTTAATAATAATGTAAAATAGGATAAAGTTTACAAAAGGTAGATCATGCCAGACTAATGTGACAGGCTTTTTGAGAAGAGGCTTGTGTACAGAGACATCAAGAAAGCATTTGATAAAGCACCACGTGGAAGTGATTAGAAAAAGTTTATAGGATGGGGATTTGCAGTAGAACAGGAAGATGGGTAGAATCTGAACACATAGATAAAATCAGGTAATTTGACAAATTATTGGAGGGATGAAGAGGCCAACTGAAAGCATAAAATGCTATTCCACATGAATTGTAAATGTCATATGTCCGTCAGTCTTTACCCAACTCTTAGAGAGCTTGCCACATTTAAAGCCAAAATTATGATGCTGTGGTAGTTTAATTTAAAAACAAACAACAAAACACAGAACCACAACTCAGTCCAGAAAAACATCGTGCCTTCTGCACACTGGGAAGAACATGACCAATTCAAGTTCCAGCAGGCATCTCTGGCACATCCCCAGAGATCCTAGATTCTGGGAGAAGTTAACCGTGTAGGATTAAAATCTGGAAAAGGTGCTCCTAAGACCTGCATTTGCATAGCTGGAGATGGCTCCCAGCCCATCAGCAAACTTAGTAGTTGTTTTCAGCAACAAGACCAACCCGTGGTGCAGCAGCATCAAAACAGATGCCACAGCACCGAAAGAGCGACAAAGGGACACGATTGTGTTGATCCTCTCAATCAAACCAGTGACATCTTTAACCTGCAGAGGAGCATAACAAACTTTAAAAACCAACAACAGCAAAAAAATGTTAAGTTTCTCGGATTTCTAGAAGCCACTCTCAGCTAGGAAGTGGAAGTGGTAAGAATGCTTTAAAAATATATATATGTATAGAAAAAAAAAGGCAAGAACAGCTCTAATGCTGTTTCATCTGTGTAAGATATGGAAAGTAGGTCTACTAAATCCACCAAAATAGTCACCAAATCCTGAGCTTTTACGTGCTGTCCTGTCTTTCCTCCCGGGAACAGCGTGTGCTGTGCTTCGCTCCTCGCCGAGGAAGGCGCGGGGCTCCCGGGGGGTGTTGCTGTCACTGCTCTAATCAAACACGAAGCGTCACGTTTCAAAAACAAATGACAGCCTTTGATTCAGTCAGAAAACGGCAGTAGGTGAAATAATTCCTGTGACTCTTCTGCCCACTGATGCCCTGCTGGAGTTCTCTGCTGTAGCGAGGGGCAGCAGAATCAGAGAGGTACCAAGTAATGAGAAACCAAAAATACGTAAAAGACGCCTTTAACAAACTATGAGATGAAAGGGGGGGAAGTCACCACAAAGAACTCAGTGTACCCTAGTGTAACTTGTCCGGATTCACTCCGCTGTGTGCTCACAAGCCGATCACTGCCCTTTTTTTTCCCTCCCCCAAGTCTCTCTCGGTTTCTTAAGGCGGTGTGTGCACGCAAAGGCTCCTCGTGTTCCCGCACCGAGAGCCGAGCAGGGCGATTCGGACCTCCCACTTCCCGCTCTCCTAAGCAGGGCGGTAGGGACGCCAGCTCATTAGGTAACTTGTGTATTCAGAGAGGGTCAGGCGAGGAAACCTCAGGACGTTTCCACTGCCTGATAGAAATCACTTGGCATTTAAGCACGAGATCAGTACCGAACGGGTCACTGCTGCAGCAGGCAGTCACTGAAGAAATACTCTGTGATAATATCTTGATGTCCTGCTCCCAGGTTTTCAAAATGACAAAATTATGTGTCCAGGCTTGGTCCTTGAGTGCTGTAAAGTCCTTATCAAGTGCAAGCAGCAATGATTATTGGTTAATGAGCTTTCTTTGCTCAGACATTTGTGTTGAGGAATCATCAAAGTACAAAATTCAAAAAAAAAAAAAAAAGGCCAGTAGATAAGCCAGGAGAAACCTGTTCACAAACAAAAATTCCAAGCAGAACCATTACCCACCAGTGCAAGAAGAACCAACCTGCAGACACAGCAGAGCAGGGAGAAGAAATTGAGATTTTATTCTCTTACCTCAGGAACACCAAGGTGCCGGGCATTCACACTGACAGCAGCATCAATAACAAACTCCAAGGAAGAAGCTTCTTCTTTCCTTAAGTCACAACAATTTTGCTATTTTGTGGGGTTTTCTTCAAGGACAGTAAAGTGAGATCCCCAGAAGATTTCAGATGTGTAAGGCAGTTTTCTTGAGTTTTTTTTCCCTAAATTTGATCAGCATACTACTATGGTGTATTATAGTATGCAAGTAAAACACTTCAAAACAGCAAAAAAGGCCTACAAAGAGAGAAGAAAAGATGAACAAGCCTAAGGTACAGGAAAGGTGACATCCTGTCTTGCACTTGCTGGGACACCAGCGGAGATTCTGTAAAACTAAGCCTTTGGTCACTGAGCTCCCTTCTCCAGCCCCTGCCTCCGCATGCATGTCTTTAACACTGCAGGAAATTCCTGCTGCCTGAACCTCATGACTCACCTTGCTCACAGTATTCTGCCTGCTCAGCAGCCTCTGGAAACTGCACCCTTCCCTTCTTTCTGCCCCACCCTTCCCCATCCAAATTCAAGGTTTGGAGGAAGAGGCTGCACTCTCTCATTGCTTCAAATAAGCACCCAGCACTGGGTTCTCACCCTTCCCTTCAGACCGGACTGAAACTGCCTCACGCTGCAATTCTGACCCCACCCTCTCCTGAAGCACCCAGTTAATTCCCCCTTTAAACTCAGCTTCCACGCTCTTTTCTTTTCGAAGCTGCCTTTATTCTTTCCCTGTACTGTTTGCTTGGGTACCACGACTGTAAGAAGCTTCAAGCCATGCTTAGGTTTGGTCAACCAAAAGAAAGGAATGAATGTTGGGCTGGGTCCTTCTTCTCTCCCCATGGGGCGATGAGCCCTCGCTGGGCCTGTGCACCTTCCTCCCCCTCTGCCCCGCTCCTGCTTTGTTACAGCTCTCACGGTGACATGCTGCCTCTTCTGTTGTGCCAGCACAGCTGTCTCTGAAATCCATGCCATGAGCTAGACCAAGGAACTGCTTTTCGTGGTAACTGGGAAGGAAAAAAAAAATAAAATGGCATTCTGTTGCTGTTAGCTCATGGAACTTCAGGAAACTCCAACCAGCTCAGTTAAATGTCACTGCGTCTGCTCTGGGGATGAGGAAAAGAAGAACAGAAAAAAATAATAAAAAAAAAAAATTAAGTGACACAAAGGACCAGGACTTAGTTCGGGAATGCAAAACTCCATTCTGTCATTCTGGAGCTTATCCAAAAGCACATCCTAACATTCATTATGTTTGCATCTGTATTTTGGTAGCAAGGTGCCAGCCCAGTGGAGATGAGGGCGCCTCTCCTTAAAGCCACCTACAAACACAAACAGGGAGAGGAAGCCCGTGTTCCATAGATGCTCTGATGTAATTGAAAGGAATCAGATACCTTACAAGTGCATAAAACCTCTTCTCTGAAATGCACGCTAATTGATGTTCAATTTGCTGTCAAATTATATTGAAGGAAAACACGAAAAGCAAAACAAGCATGAAGATCTCTTGTAAGTGGAAGATACAGAGCTGCGAGTTCAAGGCGTGAGAAGGCCTTGTGATGTGGCTCAGTGATGTGCTCCACAGCTTGTTGCAAAAACTGAAACATAAGCACAGAATTTCAAGTAGGGACTACTTAGCTGTGATAAGCATTTA